CCATAGCCAACTATATGTCGTGTCAAAGTGTGTGTGTGCGCGCACGCACACACACACACGCACCAGTGGTGGGTTTCAAAAATTTTTGGAACCTCTTCTGTAGCTGTGGCCTGCTTTCCGGATCCACTGGTGAAACCTCTTCTAACCGGTTCGGTAGATTTGACGAACAGGTTCTATCGAACCAGTGCGAACCGGTAGGAACCCACCTCTGACACAAACATTTGTTTCTCCGAAAATAAGAAAAGGTCTTATTTTTTTTGACTCCCGAAACAAGCACTTGGCCTTTTTTTCGGGGAGATATTATTATGTTTGAGTTGCAGGAAACAGCGAGTGTGATCACTCATGGCTGTTGCTGTATTGCAATATTTTCGGGGAGGGCTTATTTTAGCGCATGTGCTCAATAGCCCGATTGGGCTTATTATCTGTATTATTGTGGCTTGTTTTTAACTTTAAATATTAAAACCCAAACATTGAGTGTTGATAAATTATCCAGTTCTGTAGATCACACTGATACAACGCACAACTTATTTAAAAAGAAAACATTCAAGAAATTGTAATGAAAAACAGTGATGTATGCATTCTAAAAATCATGAACACAGCCTGAATTACACTTCTGTAATTTGTACAGAAGTGTTATAAAGTCTCAAAAACCAGAAATGAAATCTAATGAGTTTGTGGGTTTCTAATATATCTAGTACAATATCTAGCACAATATTTCTCCCTGAGCAGTGTGCCTATTTCTACAGAAATAGAAACCTCCTGAATCAAATGTTCATCTACTTCAATTATTTGGGTCTTTTAGCTTTGAAGAGAGCCTACATTAATCAGAAGTTGCTGGCTGGATGGTAAAAACCATTTTAATTGCCATTTTCCTTCTTCAAGTTTCTTCCAAGTTCTGCTCTTAATTTTTTTTAAATTACCTTTACTTCTTTATTTCCAGCAGAGGGAGGTATCTTACTCTTCATGTGACCGAGAACATTTCTGCCTTCTGGGAAATGTGGTTTAATAGTCTAGCACAAAGAACTTATTACCGCCCCAACAAAAGTTAACCCCTGGGAATAAATAAATCACTGGTGTCATATTATATTGTTGGGGTACTGACTACTGTGAAAGGATAAATAAATATTTGAGAATTGTTTTCAGGTTTGGATGTAAAAGCACCAGATAATGTTCTTTCTTCTTTTTAAATAAAATATTCATCTTCTGCTTATTGATTTCCCACAAAGTAATGCTGAATTTCTTTCCAGTGTACCTTAGTATATATTTTATCCAGTGGTGGGTTTCAAAAAAATTTTCAAACCTACTCTGTGGGTGTGGCCTCCTTTGTGGGAGGGGCTTGCCAGCCATGTGTTCTCTCTCTCTCTCTCTCT